TAATCCGAAGACAAAAGAGTTGGAAAAAAAAAACAAACAAACGAAAAAGGCTTTGTTGCAGCCTTGAAGCCTTTATCGTCACCTTTACGTTTATAAGACATCAATTTTGAGGAAGGGGTACCTTCATCTAGAGTTTAAAAAAACGTTTCAGCAATTCTGGTGGGTCAACATGCTTTTTTCAAACGAGAGAAATTTGCTAAAAAATAAGCTATAAGGACGCTTAAAGCTGAGGGTACCATTTCTATTGCCTTTTTAAAGTTTGAGGAAATTTAATGAATTTTAACTTGAGAACAGGCTCATAATATTTGCGTTTTGTTTGGTAACTATAATTCCGGCGGGAAAGGCGAATAAGAGAGAATGTCCGAAGTCTTCTAAAATTGGGCCTGACCTCAGGTTAAATCAATGTGCTTTAGTTGAACTAAATGTATTTCAAAGCTTTTGTTTTCGATCTCATAGGTAGCAAATTGAATCCCAAGTCGTTTTCTTACCGGAAAAAAACATTCCGCCTAAGTATTTTGACTCTCTACACTCCGGCTCCCATATGACAGAGTCGGGGATGTTCGTCGGAAAAATTGGAATCAAAACAGGAGTCCCTGTAGCCTGAGAAAACAGCCGACGTATCGCGACGCACGAGTACAGAAATTCCAAAAAATGACGCATTACTATCCAGATCTGGCCGCGCTGGGTAGTGCTTCTGTTTGGTCGTGCCGCGAGGGAAATTGATCTGGGTAGTGACAAGTCATCACCTGTTTTCCCAGGCTCCCTGCAATTAAACCCCTTAAAGGAGATCAATTTGGGCGTTGCACATGCTCCAGCACAGTATGGCTGTACAGTATCTTTTTATAGATATTTCGTCAGTTCACGCATAACCGCAAGCGATACCTTCAAGGATAAAACTGGGCAACGAAGACTGCGACGTCAACTAAGAACCGCAAAAAAGCACTAGGTATAGATTGGCAAAAAAAAAAACATCTTTGCACGTGCATCACCCTTTTTTGTACATTTCTTCGGATTTCTTTCTTTCGTCACTACACTACTACGACGTAGAAATGCCTAATTTCACGTTTTCTGTAAAACGTGAACACAAGACAACGACTTTACTTTTCTTTTCCTGAACTTCCATATAGTCTTTCAGAATTCAACTCCAGAAAAAAATTGGCAACATTTGACGAATTGAACGAGATGGAATAAGCGCGATAATGTTTGAAGACGCTCAAATTCCCATTTTGAGTGACGTTTTCGTAGTCGTCGCCGTCGTTGTTGCTTAAGTTCTTTTTAAAGACGTCATCTGCCCCTAAGCAAGATGGCAAGCATCTACGTCACTTTCATATGGATGTCCCCCTCCCCCACCGGAGGAATTTTGATCTACATGCTAAGGGTCACGCGCGTCTGGACTGATGTTCTCTTTCTGAGGAGTCACTTAAAGGTCTAACCATGTTTTTTAATTTCAAGGGTTCATGAGCGCGTTCTTTAGGAAATCGTTCGTGAATATTTCCGAGCCGCAGTGTCCACTATAAATTCGGGACGTCACGATAATGTGGTCTGAGGGTCGAAATTCATTCGCTTAGTTTTTAGTTTTTTGCACGTTAGACGTATAGCTATGCTGGTGTAGAATAAAAACATTAAAACGATTATCAAAAATCATAACTATAAAAAACACAAATGTTTTAGAATATTCACAAAAGGGTCATCTTAAGACTTTCTAGAGAACAGCCCCTTTCTCTGCCTTTGATCTCGGTTTTGATGTCTTTAGACTTCCATACTGTACGAAGCCTTAAAATTCTTGCAAACGAAATATTTCTTCGTTTTCCAAGCCTGAGACCAGGTCTGTGGATACACTTCTTTTCTTGGAACCTGTCAATCCCATGATTGTAAAGAAAACCGCCAGATTTTGTCATCACGTCACGTTGTCACTTCAAAAAAGAAAGTTTTCACACAAAAAAATTCTCTCATCATCCCACTGGGAAAAGAATTTAGCACTGAATCGTTGCAAAGGATTTACAGGTATGTTGTTTTAATTTCTACTTCGCTATAAACCTAGTAGGACTGAAATGCTAATAATTTTTCTTATCTCTTTTGAGAATCAATGCGCCTCAACAAAATTAGTTCCTGTAGAATTTGTTGATCTTTCAACTTCGATTAAAATACAACTCGAACAGGTGAAAAACAAAAACAACTTCTCAATTACACCAATATATTTGAACACTTTACTTCTAGCTAGCTGTGCATTAGGAAAAAACCTTTGCTTTAATATACGTTTCGTTTTCAAAAAATCAGAAGTGATGCTTCAAGCTTTTCCTTTTTCCTTGACTTTATGAGGCACAAATTCAACATGGAAAGCCACTAAGCCGATTATCGCTCAGGTTTTAGACGCAAAAACTGAAGACATATTTCCGCAGCGCGTGTTATTGCGAGAGGGAAAAATGTATCAGGAAAATTCAGGGCCAACAATCACCTTTAAAATGTTAAGTATTGTAAGCTTCTTCAAAGAATTAGGACACTTGCTTTCAAGTTTACTCCCTTCGTTATGTTACTGCATCTGTCAGAAGCGCGTCTTTCAAATTGTTTAAAAAATTTGAGACACAAAAGCATATAATTATTTAAAATTCATTCAAAATTTGCGACGCAGAACGTCTCAATAACAAACAGGTAATTTCAGCTTAAAAACTCGAGAATACGATGTCGTGCCGACACTAAATCAAACAAGAAACGCAGCGATCCGCTGATTCTCATCGCGGGCATAAAATTCATACACAATAGATGCTTTGGGAACGCCACTCGTGCAATCTTACAAACTGGCTTGGGATTAAATAAAACATAAAAAAATACAAGGAAGCAGCTAGAGCATCTGGACTTACCCTGCTTGCCCATCACATTAACAATGAATTTTCAGACTTATGATCAAATCGCCTGCCAATGTTTCCAAAATACTCAACCGACCTTCAGCGAAGGGTGGTAGTTTTACGTTTTCATTCACACTAAAGCTTTCTCATTTGAAACAGAAGGCCGGATGCAAAAAGCAATCTATCGCCTCGCTTTGGCCACGAACATGATTGTTCCGCCGGTTGTTTAGAATCGTTGACTCTTAAATAGACCTATTCACGGATGTAAGAGTTCCTTTGACGAACTTAACCGCCTTAATAGGCGAGATATCACGGTTTCATAATAGAATAATAAAACAAAAACACGGCCGTCCTTTTACGTTAAGATTATTAGCTACGATCGCTCGCCTTTGGTCTGAACATCATCTTAGGTATTGTATTCAAATTCATAAGCTTCCGAAGTTTTATACCACTTTGTGACTCAAACGGAAAGCGAAGATCAAATTTCATCAATATAGCACAAGACAAAAACGAGACAATATATTTTATCTAACGATCTTTGCCGCACTAGAATTATTATTACTTTTTCGATATAAAACTTCCCTGAATAATAATAAAGATAAACATTTTGGGGAGACACTCGCACTTTGTGACGTAGAACAGTATATTTTCATTGACTGAACAGTCGCAGTGACGCGAAGTTAAACAATTGGCAAAACGACAACTAAAATATGCTTTTTCTTCTCTGAATTTACACGAAATATGGTCAACAGGATGAATTTGTGTCAAGCTTTTGATGACCTTGACGAGAACATTTTGTTTCTCAGCTCTAATACGGAACAGGATGTTTCAGGCAGAGAATCTTGTCATCATTTTTCTTACAAGTGACACCTGTATTATGCAAACTACGACTACATGCTAATGCCTTGGGTAAAATGTTTTGTGCGGTTTTCTTTTCGTTGTAATTCCTGTCAAGTTTTCAACTGACTGCAAGAGTTCCCTTTAAAAACACGAAACAGACTTAACACACAAAAGCACTAAAATTTCGAGTGAATAAAGATGAAAAAATACATAAATGTTATTTAACGAGGGTTACAATGACCAGTTTGTACTGATAAACTCATGGCCCTCAAACTTTCAATAAGCTCAACAGGAAAACCGGAGCTGCACCTGAGTGGCAAGAATTAACTATAATCCTAACAAAGCTTCTGTCATCGTTTTTCTTGGAATGAGATTTCCTGGAATACAACTAAATTTCAAGCAAGGAAAGTCAAAAGGCGCTCACCTCACACTCTCTTCTCATGGATTTCTCGGTGCCAAGTGAAAGGTATAAACGTTTGGGTAAATTGCATCACTTTCAAACCCCGTCCATGCACCATAAGTAATGTAATATGTGACAACCTTTATTGACAGACTGCTCCAGTGAACATAACAATTTACGCCCAAACTTGACGTGAATGGAAGTGTCACTGCCGAAAACTTGGTACGCCATCTTTATACAGTAGCAATACAGAGTGTGGCTGAAAGTGAAAAGTTGCTCGTTTCCACGACTCCCTCGGAGTAAACACTGGTTTCGAGGGCGGTCTAGTTACAACTTAGCGCCTTGTCTTGTTGTCATGCATGTCTTCGCTGTTCAGAGTCATTTCTTGTTCGTAAGAAAATAACATTTACTCACGCGGTCAAAGTTTAACCAGCATTGTCTGATGGATTCCGGGGGGGGACCTCCATATGAAAGTGACGGGAATGCTCGTCGCGTCTCGCTTTGGGGTAGAAATTGCATTTTTTCGTCTCACTTAGGGTATTCTGGACGAAAAGCCAATATTTTTACTCTTAAAAGATATCGCTTTGGGTGGTGCGTAAGGAAATATCCAGGTAAAACTAAGAAACAACGCCGTCTTACTGTGGAGCTGGAGAATGATCTACTTTAAGCGTTACAAAGAAAGCCTAGGCCACACCCAGCAATTGGTTTCCGTTAGGGTTCGCAGGGCTCGAGGGCCACTTCTTGCTCGTCTATAATTAGTTTATGACTTTGTTGGTGGATGACTTGCGCCCGGACCCCTGGCCATTGTGCAAGTAAGTTTAAAAAGGTTACTTGCACAGCAAGAAATCTACTTGTCTCGCACTACCGGACAAGGCTTTTTTCGAGCTTTGGTTTATTCCGAATTTCCTACGAGCATCCCCTTCTCTTAAATATGAGATCCCCCCCCAGCCCCCAAACCTGTTTTGGAATCTGCTAAGCAAGTCATACGCTGTTCAAGGATGTTCACCTCTCTTTCGTTAGAAAATAATCGTGTGAACTCGTTTCAAAATAGGCGAAGAAAGATTAACAACACCATTAGCGTACAATTCTCTGAAGCAAATACACCTTACGATTACTCGTCGCCTTCTGTTACGTCGTCAAAAATATCGTACGCTTCAATGTCATCGTCCTTTTCCAGTAATTCCAAGAAGTTTTTGACTCCCTCGTGACCAGTCCACTCCTCCCCTGTGAGCTGTAATTGAGATGTAGTCTGTTCCACCTCCTCCCCCACCCCTGACTGTTGTTGTTTGAACCTCTCGGCCAAATCAGCGGTCCGTCGATGAAGAATCTCTCGAATCTCATTAGCTGTTCCTGGTAAACACCATCCATCACGATCAAGGAGCTCGTCTTCCTAACACATTAAAGTAAAACCAAAATGCAATGGTATCAGAAGGTTGTCTTACTTTAATTCCCCACTCCAGAAAACTATAAGGGGAACACACGCTTTTGCCACAATGATCTCTGGCATCGTTTGGGTGGACAAGCGTTACTTATGATTGGTTAATGGTTGCCTTGGATACCATCGACCAAGTCTTGAGGGATTTCCAGATACAAATGCTTCCAGCTGAAGTTCCAAGTAGAATCGGTACTTCTTTAAGCGTTACCGTAGGGCCCAAAATCCAAAAGTTTGGTATTTAAACAAAGTCTAACTTACGTTTTAAGACAGTAACTAAACATTCAGCTTGGCTGATCACCAAGTTTTTTTTTTCTAACTGAAAGCCTTCTTGATGATGATCATAATAAATAAAACTCTGGCCCTGTTACGACAGCGACTATACCGTACATCAGAGGCACCTCTGAAACTATTGCACGTATATTACAACCTTAAAATATACGTGTTGCACACAAACCGATAACCACTTTACGGCGACTGCTTACTAATGTCAAGGACAAAGACAAACCGGAGGACAGACAGGGAGCAGTATACAAGATCAAATGCTGCGACTGCCAGGCTTCTTACATTGGTGAAACCGGCAGAAACCTAAGCACGCGACTGACCAAACACAAACGAGCTACGAAGAATGCTGACGTCAACAATCACATTGCTGAGCACCATTTAAAGACGAAACATCAAATTGACTGGGACTCTGCGACATGTATAACGTATTCTACAGACTGCTATCAACGTCTTACTTTAGAAAGCTGGTTTACTAACTTAGAACAAACGCCACTGAATCGTAGCCAACAGTTACCAGCGCCGTACAAACGACTTATTGACGAGATCAAGCAAAACTAACTACGAGAGAATGACAATTTGACTAACAATAGACGACTGTTTAACTGTGACAATAGACGGATCGAAACGCACCAATTACTGATTACGAGTCTCCATAGCCAATAACATCACGGTTTAACTGACAGACGACCAATAACATCACGACGTAATTGACCAATCAAATCAATAACCAGAGTATAATACCATCAACTGACGTCATACAACTCACTTTGACTCTGAAGATGACTACCGCACAGGTTGTCGAAACGTCAGTCACTGTCAACAACAACAGTCCTATTCAGGGCTACGTTCACCAGGACGATCAAACTCAACCTACTTTTGATAATAAATAATGTTTAGATGCCAAGATTGGCCAAATTTAAAACACTTTAGAACGTTGCTTTGTTTACACTACCTGGTAAACTCTGTTTTAACAACTGACCCTAATTGCTTAGTGCTACGTAGACACCCCTTTACAGACACGCTATTCTCCCTACCTTTATAGAGGAAATTCACGCTCCATGAAATTAGGTATTGGAAATTAGAGGCCTTTAGATTGGAGGACGAGGACGCCTAGGAGAACGAGATTTGATCAAACTTCAAAAATTTGATAACTTGTTTCCGCCACTTCGACATTCTCGCTAAAATTCCTAGTAGAGTGACGACGGCTATCATGTTTTCCCTCCAAAATGACGCTGGTTCACGCACGAGCACTACTTACTATAGAGAAAATCTCATACTCGTAGTCGTACTCGTCTTAGAATCTAAAGCTCTCTAAACGCGACAAACCGACTGTCGAATAAAGGTAATTAACGCAAAAGAGAGGGTAACATTTCATGATGAAGGAAATTAACGCGACGTTTACAAAGAAACAAAACTTGTTGAGACAACAGGAAAGTATAACCGAAATGGAAACTTGTTCGTGCTTCTTTCTCTTCACGTTCGAAGGGGGTCAAGCGAAGAAATCTGGCCACTTCGAGGGTTCTTCACAGTTTCACTGTTACACGCGGATCTCCACCCTGATAAAATGCTCCTCTTTCTTAAGTATCAAGAGTGCCAGAAGTGTATCTAGAATTTGGGGTCCAAATGATAGATATTAGGGTTGCGGAAATTAACGCTCCACTTAGTTAACAGCGCAGAAATTAACGTTTACAAAAATTGATACGACTTAATTTAACAGTTGAATTAACGCGAATATAAAAAATTCGCGTTCATTTCATGAGGCGTTGATTTCCTACAATAAGGTATAATTTACGCCTTTAGAAAAGTTCGACTGTGTAAAAAATAAAACTTAAAGATAAAATACTGACCTGTCCGTCATTTTTGCTGATAAGTCCCTGAATCTCTGGATCATGTAGATCGCACAGTTGATAAAACAACTGTTTTTGTTTGGGCATTTTATCGGGGGTGAACACATATGGATATTCTTGCTCTTGAGTTTGTTCTTCACTTGCTTTATCATCACTGCTGATCCTCACAACTTCTTTTACTAATGTTTTAGAAGTGCCTCCTTTCTTTATTAAGTTTGGTAGAATGTAAACACTTGAATCTCTCTTGGCTTTTATTGGAAGGTCTCTAGTCTCTTTTCTGCTTCCAATACGGTAATCTAACATCTGATATCTGTTGAATGTTGAAACAGTTCTTAAGACACAAGCATAAATTAATACGAATTAGCCTGTTCCAGGCTCTTAACTGCTAGTTGCGCCTAACCCTTTATTATACCATTATTAAGGGAAAAAGGAATCCCTTTTATACACAGTCTATTGAAAAATGGTACCCCTGTTAATTAGAATAAACCACTGAAACAGGCAGTCTTCTTGTCATTTTTGTGCTATTTTTAATAAAATTTGTGTAGCGTAAGATAACGTTTAATAAATTAAAATGATATAACCATAAGGTGCATCTTTTCGAAATTTTTCATAAAAGACCCTTTTAAACACTCAAATGATATATTTTCTACCCTTTCATATCTGTCAACTCCTGAATTCCCTACCTTTGATTTACATGAAGCCTGACCGCTTTCAAGCAGAGATTTGACCTACAGGTCATTATATGGAGTCCCCCCGCTCCCCCTAGCCTGCGAGCAAGCTCTCTGGAGAACTCTGGCAGTGGAGCGGGAAAAGGAAGGAGAGCTTAAAACCTCTCTCCTCCACAGACGCCTATTGTGTTGTGGGGAGGCTGGGGAGAAAGAAAAAGAGAGTACGCTGGGCACCTTTTCCCTCTTCCCATCGTCCCCTGCACGCTTTCTATTTTTTCGATTATTGCTATTTTTTTTAGGAATACCCAGGGGGAACCTCTGCGGAGGAGAGAGGCTTGCAACTATGTCTCTGGAATTTGAACATCACCTCCAATTCCCCTTTGGTTCCCCGTCGACTGTGCTGTTAGATATCCGCCAATCAGCACAGGAATGTAAACAAATATTAAAAAACACGTACCAAGAGTAATGACGTCATTGCTGTCATCTCCGCCAATCAGCATTTTGCATCAACTTTTTCAATGCAGATATTCAAAATCCAGAGACGCAGTTGCAAGCTCTCCTTTCTTTTCCTGCCCTGTCAACAGAGCACCCCGGAGAGCTTGTTCACAAGCTACACTCTTCCGGGCACCTCACCTCCTTACATCACCAGTGAAGCAGCCACCAAGTAAAAAAATTTACAACTTACATTTTTGCACTAGGATCTTTTCGAGGATCATAGCCCAACCTGTTCCATAATGTTCTCCATGGTCCATTGATCCAGTAAAATGCAACATATGCCAGTAAATTTTTAAGCCTTTCATTTGATACACCATTCATGTGACATAGTAGTGCAGTTTTTGACCAGATAGGTCTTGTGGTAAACAGTTTTTTTATTGTCTCCAAATGAACATCTTTTGTTTTAGTTGCTATTTCCACAGCTTTGGGATTTGGTGATGAAGGGACCTCAGCCATACTAAAGTTGACAGCCATGGCATTAGCTGGTCGTCTCATTCTAGTGCTTGTTCCAGTTGAACTGAAAACGGTTACACATACAAATGTTAGTACTATCACTGAAGAACAAATTGCAGGAATTTCTTGGCAATTTTTATGATATCTCTGCTCTTCAAAATAAATTTAGGAAAGGAAGCAAGCAAGAAAGTGAATAAAGGATAGAGAAAGAAAAGCATACATGTATGCAAAGTTTTCTAGTAGATCTGAGTTAAAAGAACAATAATAAACAAATGAAAAATATTTTTAAAACTAGCTCATCACATTCTCTATCACACAAACTCTAAAGTTCTAAAGAGTTTCTATTGAAAGTCAAAGGAATGAGTTAACAAAAAACCTATCTGCAGCAATTTTAAGGAAGATGCTTATCTTAATAAGATGTCTGTTGAGAAGGGTTTAAATGTATTTGTCAAATGTCATGCTTAGCTTTTCATTTCTTGGGGCTGGTTAACTAAAGGGACTTTTCACCCTAATCAGGGAAGCTGATTTTCTAATTTGTAACTCACCCTGTGATTTTAATAGTCTAAATATAATAATACTATTTCATGTTTAGCTTAACTAAACATGGGTTCATGTTTAGCTTAACTAAACATGGGTTACTGAAAAATCTTAACAGAGAAATATTATAGTGAGTCAAACTCAGAAATTTGTGAACACCTGTTGAAGAGATGACCAATCACAACGAAGATCAGAACATATGAGCAGACCAAAAGACCATAAACTAATTACAGTTGGAGTTTACTGTTAAGTTATGTATGATTGGCTTTTTCCTCCAGGGGGAGACACTGACATACCATAAATATTTCTGGTCACCATCATGAAAGATATTTTTCATTGTGGTTGATGAGTAAAAATAGTTTTGTTGATCATTTGTTTCATGATCCTTACTAAGATATTAATAGCCAAATTGACACTATTGCCTGATGAAGACCTGAAGTGCGCAGTTAAAACATTGCAACCAAAACCTAAATGAAAATCAGAGAGAAATGATAGACAAAACCCTTTGAGTTTTACAGTGACTATAAAAAATAATAATCTCATGCAGAGATTGCCCGCACCTTTCCTCATCTGCGTTATTTTCTTGTTTATTGCTGTGTGGAACAGATTGGTAATTATAATTTTGTGGTTTGTCAAATCGTGCAAACACTGGAGGAGGAAGATGAAGGGGAATATCTTGATCCAAAGCATAGGCATCTTTAACTTCCTTTAAAAACTCAGGCATGTCAGGAACAAGATACTGAAAATCTGCCAATACTTCAAACCTGAAAATACAGAGACCTAATTAAAATGGTTTCTATTGTCTATATTCAACACAGCCTTCAGGGCTTTCCTTATTTTAACCCTACAAGAATTGACACAAGACGATACCTAACTACACACAATATTTGAAGTTCAACAGACTCTGCGAGCACCTGTGACCTGCAGTGCTGTCATAATCTGGGAGACTCCAAATCTTGGACTGTATCTCCCGGTCTCCAGGTTAGAGTATAAAATCTCCCAGATAATTGCTGAAGTTTGCCATTTCTTCATTTCAGTAGACTCGACGTTCCAACAATATTAAAAATGTCATCTGTTGCATTGTTTGAGCTATTGTAATGTTAACATCCTCAAAAACTCAGGTACGCCATTGTAACTTAATAATAATGTGATTGGTGGGAAGCTAACCAATCAGGTCAAATGTTACTATGCAAATAACATCTTTTTCATGTGTTTTGTGCCATCACAACTTTGTGGTGATTGGAGTCAACGAATATTTTTTGCTCAAATCACGTCATGTGCCATGCCGTATGATGTCATCTATTATCATTTCCCTTAGTTCCCTATCAATTCTCAATATTTGAAGACATGGGGGGTTGAGAGCCCTGGACCTGTTACTTGTGAAACATGAGCTGTGACCTGAGGAGAAGAGCCATCACTATAATACACGGCAGTAGTATGACTACTAATGTAAGTGCAAGCAGAGAACTGTCATGCAAATCGGTTTTCCGATTTTCTCTACCATTCTATGCTGCTGCAGTGCTAAAGTCAAATTTCATTTGATCACCGCATACTGCATCACTGCGTCTGAAATGCACCTTAGATTTGACAAAGCTCTTCAGCAAAACCGCTATTTCACTGTATTGGTAATGCATCATAAAATAACCTAATATTAAAGACCAGGGCCCAGTTGCTCGAAGCATGGTTAGCGTTAACCAGCGTTTAATACCTTGACAACCTATTGGTTTTGATACTGCTTAACCAATGGTTAAAGCTAACCATGCTTTGAGCAATTCAGCCCAGGTAGTAAAGCTTGAACATTGCACCAGCTACAATATCTTACTTGAATGTGTTCGCCACTATCCCGAGTATCTCCTGCTCATATTTTACTACCGTCGACTGGTTACTCCCATCTCTACTCTTCTTTTTTCGTTGTTTTACTCTGAGCAAAAGGTTTGGAGTAGAGTATCGATCACCGCATACCGCATGGCAGTATGGATCGTCCGGACGAAAAGACAGTTCTAATCTCCTCCCCGAGCTGGAGTAAGTTTTTGCCACAGTTTCTTCTCCTCCTAGTGTTTCGAGCATCTGGTTTTCATCTTTGATGTATCCTGGATACTCAATACCGACGAATTTAACTTGATTAAATGTTATTCGTCCACTATTTGTCGAAGAAACATCCTCGTTTCCCAAGTCATCGTCTGACTTTTCCGCCATATTGAAATTTATGATGGTCTACCGCTGACCACATTAAATTTTCAGAAAAACGGACAGGGAGTAGTAGGGAGGGGAGGGAAGAAATATGGTGGAAAAACGTTTCCTCCCTTAAAGTATGGGAACAATCATTCTTTTATTCTTTAATAAAATAAATAAATTATCCAAAGAAGGTTTAAGATACGTTACAAGGGAATTTATTCTACACACACGCGATCACCTTCCAGAAAAATATCTTTACCCTTCTACCCTCCCCACACCTCACTGACTAACGTTGGGATGCTTGTTTGGGCCGCCAGTTTAACCAGCCAGCGGTGAAATCCAAGATGGCGGACAATGTGGATGTACAAAGCGCCTTGAGTTACAACACTTTGGCGGAATGCTCCACCAGCAAAGCTCGAACTGCCATCCTAACTTTACCGCATTATGAAGTAGAGACTCCTGTATTTATGCCAGTAGGAACACAAGGTACTATGAAGGGATTAACAACGAAGCAGCTTACAGATCTAGACTGTCAGATTATTCTTGGCAACACTTATCATCTGGGAATGAGACCGGTAATTTTGTACTAAAGCTTGCTCTATTTTTCAATAACGTATACAAAACATGGACCCCCGGTCCATGGACCACCTCTGTCCACCTCTGTCCACCTCTGTCCATGGACCTCTTGGTGGACCGACGTACCCGGTCCATAGAATTTTTACAAGAGGTCTAAAGGAATTTTAGTAACCTGAAATGGACGAAACTTTGTCAATTTATATCATCACGATTAAAGGCTCCTCATCTTATACCTGCCACCTCTCACGCCTGCGGGTTGAAAACTTCGATCTCACGCCCGCTCACGCCTGCGGACCAATTTCTCACGCCTGATTGAAAAATGTGAGTTGTTGCCGTCTTGCTTGACACAATTTCCAAAAATATGTTAACTCAGACCCATGTAAGGAACGAAAACCATGTGTAAAATGAATAAATGACAATACCTTCCTCGCGATCTCTGATTTTGTGGATAAGCGTTTTCTCGATAACTTCGCCTTCGGCAGACTTCAGACATCTTCGGAAGACTTCGGACTCCTTCAGGAATCTTCGGAAATGATCGTGTCGTTTTCAAAAATCCCAGCACTCGCAGGATAAAAATCTCACGCCTACATCTCAGAAAAAGTTGGCAGGTATATCATCTTATTCACTTTCTCAACTATTTTCTGAATTCCATACATGGGTTAGGTTTAGCCTGGAAGGAGAAACTTTTTGAAGGGGACCTAAGGAGAGGTAGGGAGGAAGTATTCAGTTATGCAGCTTTTCTTGTGTGTGTGTCGTCTAGTTGCGTGAAGATGGACAAAAAAATGGTTGCGTAGGAAGACTTAGTGCATTATGATTGAATATCCACCCCAGACTTCCCTTCCCTTGATAGCCTAGTATGGAAATGTTTATTGGTTGGTAAACTTGTTGAATCCTGCTCACGACTCAAACACAAAATGACCTGCATATTATCAAACAATGCGGTTGGTCAGACTTCTGACAAGTTTGCATACACTTACAGTTTGGTTCATGTAAATTGCAATTCATTCATTCTTGTCATTACAAACTCGTGCACATTAAGCTTCCTCTGTAGTCTCATATGCAGCCGTTTTTGTTTCTATTTTCTCGCATGAAGTGAGAAGACCAGGAAGAAAAGAAAGCCGCAAATAAAGCCAAGCTTGCTTCATTTCAAAAACAAACTGTAAGGGGGTGGTGGTGGAAAAGACCTCTCCCTTTCCACCCCATCCCCTAAAGTTGAGGTCTTAAATTAAAATTATCTCCTTGATATAACTGTATCGTGGAACATGAAACACCCAATAATGATTGCGTATAGGTTCAATCTTATGTTTAATTTCCCTTATTAACATGTTTTGGTGTTATTCTATTTTATCAGGGTACCAAGATATTAGAGAAAGCTGGAGGACTCCATGGCTTTATGAACTGGAAAAGAGCTCTCTTAACTGTAAGGGCTGCTAATGTATTTCAATAACAAAACAATAGTTTCAATTAATGGCAAAGCCTGAATTTTTCAGGCTTTGTTAATTTCATTACTGCAAAAGTTGCATCTGTAACTGCACTGATCTTCTTTACTATGATTCGTCATCACACAGTTCTAATTATATGATTTTATATAATAAAATTGTTTTATTCATTATTTCATCATCATCCTCTCATGACCTTATAAAAAATCAACTAAATGACCAGCTCAGAGTTGGCTTGTTAGCTTAGCTGTTATTGCAGAGGTCAAGAAAATGATACCTAAAGGTGAACTCTGGGTGTCTTTTCAAGAAGGTGTCCATAAAATGATGGTTCAGGAAGCAACACAAGTGCTCTCCAATAGCCCAAAGCTAGTTGAGCAAACTGTTAGGCTTGCGTGTTTCCCTATTAGATTATGATGGGCAGAAACATCTGCCCAGATAATGTAATTAAGCAAGGGAAAACGTTTTCCATGTTTGCATAGCCTGATATAAACACGAGAGGGGTTGGGAGAATTCGAGACAGTTATGCAAAGCCAAGATGAAGTCGAGGGTTTGCATAACTGTCGAGAATTCTCCCAACCCCTCAAGTGTTTACATCAGGATATGCAAACACAGGAAAAAAGTTTTCTATTGCTTTTATAAAACAACTTTCCTAAGAAAAAAAGCAAAACTCTCTTGTGTAGAGCATTGATTAAAAGCGAAATTCTTGCCAGTCGCGAAGTCTTGTACACGAAGCTTGAGTGCATAATCAGTCTTTGTTTTGCAAAAAAGGTGCTTTCCAAACTATGGGTTTTTCTCGCTTAAAATGTCAGCTCAAGCGAAAAAAAATTGACACAGCATGCTTCTAAAGATTTTTCAAGTTTCAACCGATGCGGAAATGGGTAAATAAAGTAAACTTGTCGAGTTTTTCAACTAAAACCCTTTTTCAAATTCCTGCTTGCTTGATTAGCGTGCCAAAAGCAAAACATCTTGACGTCACAACCATGTTTACATACTCTCATGCAAACATGCCTCTCAGCCAATCAGAGCACGCATACAATTTTAGTTATTTTATAAATAGTGGTGAAAAGGGAATTGGTAGGCCTGTGTGACTACTCTGGGCCAGTAAACTTTGGGAACAAGACAAGACAAGACAAGAACTTTATTTATACCACACACAGAAAAAAAGACATAATACTGGTAATCATGGACATTTTTTGATTCTTGATTCACTGTTTCTAAACATTCCAAGGATGAATCTACCAAAAATAAATTTGAATTGTCAGGGAAAAGGTGAAAATCAAATACAGAAGAGCAGTTACTAAAATCATTTATATTATCATAGAAGGAACAAAAGGGGGCCAAGATCTGAACCCTGGGGGACACCACAAATTGGGAACAGTTTGCCTGGAGGCCCTGGTTTATTTAATTTTCATCTGACCCTGAGATTGTTGGCTCCTTTCATTGCTTTACCATGTGAGGTAATGGTGGAGCCAAAGTGCACATTATAATATTTTATTTTGTCTGCCAAAATTAATAGACTGAAATTGCTGTTATTATTAATTTTGTAACATGCAGGACAGTGGTGGATTTCAGATGGTATCACTCTTAAAATTAGCTGAAATTACTGAGGAAGGTGTCAAGTTCCAATCACCTCATGATGGAAGAGAAATGTTACTCACACCTGAAAAATCAACTGAGATCCAGAATTCTATTGGAGCTGATATAATTATGCAACTGGATGATGTGGTCAGCAGTACTACTACAGGTGACATGCTAAGAATATTGAGTTTTTCTTTTTGCAAAGCTACATGTGCTTTATTAGTGAATTTTGTATTGTTTTGGTCAGATCTTATTCAATCTAGCCCTTACATTTGCAGCGCATCTTAAAAAAGACTTTCGTTCCTGCATTTTTTCATATCTGCATTTTTAAAGATCTGTATCGATAACCTATTTGATAACCTTGAGTCTGGAAAAAAAACTTATCGTTTCGGAAAAAAGTCTGGAAAAAGGCTTGAATTCTGGATCCAAAAATCTGTACGAACCTTGTGTTAACATAGAAACATAAAATTGTGTCTTAATCACTGAAGGTTAGTAGACACAGTTGGTGATAGATAGCAGTATGTGTCCTTGCTGAGAAGGAAGTGTATCCAAGCATTTAGAGCACAGGACTTACAATCTAGAGTCCGCGAGACCACTAGCTGTCCACTAGCTGGATATATTGCTAGGCTAACTGGCTCAAAATAGATTGCTGACAACATACTGATTAATCATTATAAAAGGTCCCAGAGTAGAGGAGGCTATGAAGCGTTCAATAAGGTGGCTGGACAGATGCGTTGCAGCACATGCAAGACCAACTGAACAGAATCTGTTTGCAATCATTCAGGGAGGACTGGATCCTGAATTGAGGAGGACTTGTGTAGAAGGTAACAGTAAAGCTTGTCTCATTCTACAGTCACTATTATCTCTCATTATTATTATTATTATTATTATTATTATTATTACTATTATTATTATGGGACTCGACTGTCAGAAGTTTTTAAGAACTCTCGCAAATAAGCTTTCGACTAAGAACACTGAACCCTACGCCAGCGTTATTTCCTGGCTTCAAATACAGCTCTTATTTGCTATATTTAATAAGAACTGTACACAGACGCGTCAGAGATTCTAGATATCCATTTAAATCACGTGAGGTCTCAGAAGACTTCACTTTCGGTGTAGCTGGTCTACATCTGCACTCACAATTTAAGGCCTAGATTTTTGATAGTTTTTTTCTTAATAATGCTTAATTTTCCTTTTCCCACTTTTAAATTATTCACAATTGTAAATAGTTTTCTATCGTGGACATATATTTAGTTTTTAATTTGTAAACAATACGATATAGTTGAAAATTGTAAATTTTTACTAACTTATTGTTCTGATACTTAAATAAAGGTTGGTTTATTATTATTATTATTATTATTATTATTATTATTATTATTATTATTATTATTATTATTATTATTATTGTCTCTACTATCACAGTCTTTGCTGGTGTTCTTTTTGTGCATCAGCCAGGTGCAAACCACGCACTTAGAGCGTCAGTCACTCAAGTCAATCATTCTGTTCATACACTCAGCACCTTTCTGAGGATTCATGCAGATCCCAGCATGCAGATCTTTTGAATCTCTGTCATAGTAGCTCTCTCTGATACTTTCTTGATGTTTTGTACCATACCCTTCTTCACTGTACCAAGCGCACCAACAACCACAGGGATCACTACGGTTTTCATATGCCACATTCTCTGTATTTCTAGTTCTAGGTCTTTGTACTTGCATTTTTTTTCAGTTTCCTTCAGTGCGATGTTTCTATCCGATGGAACAGTCAAATCAATAAGTTTGCAGGTGGAATTCACTGAATCTTTAACGATGATATCTGGTCTGTTCGCTATTATAGGTCTCTCAGTATTGACTTGCATGTCCCACATGATGGTGATGTTGTTATCTTTATTGTGTATCACGTTCTCTGGTTCGTGTTCGTACCATTTGTCTGTAATCTCTATATCATGATCTTTACATATGCTCCAATGGAGATATGTTGCAGCATTATTGTGCCTGGAGATGTACTCTGTTTTGGCTAATACCTCACATCCAGATACAATATGGTCCACTGTCTCTTCATGTTGCGAACACAATCTGCATTTGCTCTCCACTTGCTGGCCACATATTACTTTCTGGTAGTTTCTGGTGTTTATTGCCTGGTCTTGAGCTGCTACAAGTAGTCCCTCTGTTTCTGCTTTCAAATTACTTGACAACCATTTGTTGGTGGTGACTGTGTCTATTATTAGTATTATTATTATTATTATTATTATTATTTGAAAGCATTTCCCCATTTGGGATTGGCTCTATTAATCCCCCAACTAACTAATTCTTCGTAATAGGCTATCACCTACTCGCTCCCCTTAAATTCAAGCTTTTTAGTATTTCAAGAACTAGGCACTTTCCACCATCTTTTATTTTCACCAGAGGTACAAATATGCGGACGCGACAGAAAACAATTTTTTTCTGGGCAAACCTTGGTCTAAAAATAACCCAAAGTGTGAATTGGAGATGGAGGCTTCAGGTGATAGGCTTGTGTATGGCTTACATGTATTCAATAAAGATCGTATTATTTTACTCACCAGAAATGGTAAAACGCAACACACCCGGTATAGCTATTGGTGGCTTAAGTGGTGGAGAAGAGAAGTCATTGTTTTGGAAGACCGTCTCTCTTTGTACAGATCTGCTACCAAAGAGCAAACCAAGATATCTTATGGGGGTAGGGTAAGTCATATGACCTAAATTAGCCGTCTTTTAACAAGGTTGAATCACCCACCATGTCTTTGGGGTCGTGGAGCCGGGTTTCAATTGACTGGTGTATTAGTTTTTCATGTATGATGTTATTTATGGGATCAAGCTTTTTCCAATAGATACACTGTCAAACTGTTCATGTGTTCTGTTGTAAATGTGAAATTCAATACTAACAAGCCTGCTCTCGACAAAGCCATCTTCATCATTTTTTATGCTGCTTGCAAACTGTACAGTAAATTACCAGTTGATTACACATCACACTTTTTCCATCAGGAATGGGAAAACGAGATTTCTCTCCTATCCCCTTGGGCTTGCTCGATCGCTACCTCTACAATCTCAACTTTTTCTTTTTAGGTTTATCTGGGGGAATGAAACGACCCTTCAACACCCCTATTGTTGATAGTCACTTAAACATGAAAATTATCCGAGTAAATTTTTGCCGAGGTAAAACTGGTCACACGATGCAACGCAGTTACACTGACCTAGGTAAAGTTGCCTCGTGTAACCTTGGCTGATGAAGCCTATACCAGTGATTTTTCCCTTAAGGTTTAACTTGCGAGCGTACGTAAATTTTATGCGCGTAAATGAAATAGAGGCAATGTATAGAAGGTCACGCGTAAACGCATAAGTTGAACCTCGCTCAACTTTTACGTTTACGCGCACCCTGTCATACATCACCTCTATTTTATTTACGCGCGTAAAATTGACTTGCCTACGCACGTGAAAATTACGCGACAGTGGAAATCCACCCTTACCCACGCCGTTCTGTTGATTTATTTCTAGTTATGCGGTGGATCTGGTGGTGTGTTGTGCGTTAGGAGTGGACATGTTTGACTGTGTTTATCCGACTAGAACGGCGGTAAGTAGTCTCTGAAAAATGCTGCATATTAATATTTGAACAAATAACAGCGGCCAACTGCGTAAACTGTCTTTACTTATGCGCCGATCAATTCGAAACTTCAACATCCCCTTCCCATCATTCTCCTTCCTCCCTCTCAACGTCGTAACAGGACAATGCAGGCCTGTTTAAACTCAGTAGACGGCAACTACTTTGTAAGGCCCCATATAGCCTCTCTAAAGATTGTCGAGTACGCGTATGGAAATAAAAACCGCGAGGACTTTATTGACCGTAAGTGCAAGGGAGTGGTGGTGGCGAAAAGAGAAGTCTTTATCTCGCGCGCTCGCTTCGCTCGTGTGCTATCGAATTATTGAAAAAAAAAAAAGATAAACGGCTGTCGACAGGCTAGGTCCCGTCAAGGGAGAATGATCTTTGGCCCCGTAGAGGTAACCACCTTGACATCTATGATTTTGGATCGACAAATGAAAACACAAAATTTGACAGTCCATTATACGTAACACACTATCGTTTACTTCATTACCTAAATACACGGCGGCGAGGTAGACGTAAGTTTGTTTCCCCCTTTTGTGACACGTTCCGTTTAGACTTTTTGTCACTGAAACTTTCATTCTTAAAACCCTATCGAACCCTATTTCTTAGCTGTTTGTGTAAAGTAATTAATTTACCTTTTCTAAAGCCCACCCCGCTCCTCTTAGTTTGGGGCAAAAAGTGTACGTATTATGAACTAAATATTCGATCGAAGCTTGAATCTGATTCCTCCCAAAATGGCGGAAACGCGCCCTTACGCGCTTGAAACTGGAACCGGTGATTTGATTAGCCAAACATATATTAAATAGATCGCCTTGTACTTATGCTTCGTTCCGTTTTCGCACAACATTGAACCCGAACGCGAGTAAAATAAAAGGAAAATTTAGATCCTTGTGATCATGAATCATGATTATCCTTGTATGCGTGGTTATGCTTGTGTTCAGGCCGTTTTTACAGCACTTGTGCTTGCCTCATCTGTGAAAACCAGGCCTTACAGAAGATAAGCAAATTACTTTGCAAAATCTGTCTCACATTGCAGAGATTTGGCACAGCATTAGTACCGTGGGGTCAACTACACTTGAAACATAAGCAGTATGTTACGGATCTCAAGCCCATCGACAGAGACTGTGGATGTTCAACTTGCAAGCATCATTCTAGAGCATACATCAATAGCTTACTGGGAAGGGAAGAGGTGGCTTGTCACTTAATAACTATACACAATATATATTATCAGGCAAGTATTCTGTGTTAATAAGGCCCAGACGACTCACGTTCTAACGCTTCCTGAAATGTTGGGCGCAACATGTTTCCTCCACGTGACAGCTTACATGTATACAGCTGTTTCGAGAAACATTGACGGAAAAAAATGTGCACGTGACAACCCCAAAAGATAATATGGGATATGATCAATACACTGTTTCTGACACTGAAACTGTCGAAGCTACTTTTGTTGCTTGCCTTTAGCACTCCCAAACATACGTCCATGGCCTCTCGTGACATTCTTTCAAATTTCTTTGAAAAGCAGTGAATACAAAACCACGCACAATACCTTTCGGGATTGTCGCGAGCACTTTTTCCGACAACCTTTCTGGAAATAGCTGTATATAGCTGCCAGTGCGAGGTGAAGTAGATTGCAGCCCGTTTTTTGCGTAGATCAAGAACGCGCGGATTCGTGAGTCAAAGTGGATTTCCACTGTTGCGTGATTTTTACGTGCCTGCGCACCGTAAATTTTACGCGCAGGTCGCGTGTAAACGTTTAAGTTGAACGTCGCTCAACGTTTACATTTATGCTCCGTAGTTCAAGTAAAGTAAAGGAATTTTTTCAATACCCTTTCAGAGAAAATTATCTATTCCATGCTCCTTCATAAATTGCCTCTATTTTAAGAACGTACCTAAATTACGCGACGGTGGAAATCCGATTTACGGTCGGTTCGCCAACGTCCTGTTCGCTAACTTCGATCTGTTGGAACTGCTTCACAGTCAATCTTTTCCAGCTTTCTTGACCGCTACAAATAATTTTGTAGCAAACTGAACCAGCTTGATCCTTATATGCGATCCTCCAGTGGTAACAATTCCTTTCAGCTTTAAGGGGAATAATCATCAAAGTACTAACCATTTCTCTGATTTGATGAGCCCAATTAGAGGGCTACCTGAATCCACCACTGTAGATTTCATACTAATGGTTAAAATCAGAAGTTATCAATCTCTTTCGCTTGCTTACATGTATTATTGGCAAGCAGTCAAGTATAGCCTGATTCTCAGACGCTCCAGTTCGCTCGCGGTCACACACTCTCTCCCTTCCACGTTGTAGAAGGGAGATTGTGCGCGGCCTCAAGCGACCTGGGGCCCGTTTCTCGAAAGTCCCGGTAACTTTACGGGCCCGAAATCAAATATTCAAATCGAAATATAAACAAGAGGAGCGCGGGTCATGGCCAGCAAACTACTCCATTTTGTTTCATTAACTGACAGTTTTATCGTGTTAGATGCAAAACTATTGAAAACTCGATCTTTAATGTAAACGGAGACAGTTTACCGGGCCCGTTAATTATCGGGACTTTCGAGAAACGGGCCCCTGGAGCGTCTGAGAATCCAGAGAATCAGACTATAAAGAGTGTCGCTGGAGATGTATAAGAAAACCAAACTCAATAAGAGAACTAGAACTAGAGAGCATATAAAGTTGGAATTTTTTTCGCTTAAGTAGGCTGTTTTCATCTGTTTTAGATGCAGCTGATGCGAGACATAAGAGAAAGCATCAAGAAAGACAATTTTCCTGAGTTTGTTCGAGGCTTCATGAACAAAATGTTCCCAGATAAAAGTTATCCAAACTGGGCTCAAAGTGCCCTAGCTTCTGTCAATATATTTTTGGATACTCAGCAATATGACAGGGAACAACAAACACTGCTTAGAAGAAAACATGATCTGGATAGGTCATCAGATGAATATGTCGTAAATTCGTAAGAAGAGTGAAATAGGGATTGCAAAAACATTTGAAAAATAATACTAACAATAAATTATTGAAATCTTGGATCTTTATTGCCATTATTTCT